GAGGAGGTGGCTTCGTTTCCCTATGTCATTAGGCAGTGAGTTTGCTTGGTATCTATGTAGACTGTTTGCATACATCCGAGTAAACAGGACTGCCTGGGAAGAGTCCCTGAGCAATCAACTCCGACCATACAAACGCCCATTTGTATTTAAAAACACGACGTGTCCCATGGTCTCGGGCCATAGCGACCTTAGCCCTTGACCCCCCCCAAGCCGCCCCGATCCTATGTCAATGCGATCCATCATTCCTCATCCCTTATTCCTTTATGAATGTAGGCTGAAGCTCGAAGCCTGCTTGAAGCCTGCTTAGGCGGCGTTCTTATTGGAATGCTATTACTTACAATATTGCTGAAGGCGACCAACGATTGAACTGTTCAAAGGACGCCTCCGTTCGATCGCTTTGTTCCCGTCCCTTTGTCTTCGATCACACTGGTCTCCTTCTCGGTTGCCTAACGAGCTGTAGTGCTTCATGGCGCCTTTCACGTTGTGACATTGGTAATGTATAGGTGATTAGTACTGTATGTACCGTGCCATTTTTCCAGACGGGATTCGACCTAAGGCCGGCCGGGCGCCCACTGACGATCGGTCAGTGACAGACATGTCTTTGATGCCCAAACCCATAGATTCTATGCATAACAGACCTATATGAGTAGATGAGTATCAAGCGGCAAGGACGAGGTTATAGGTTAATAGATTCCTTACGATATGTCCTGGCCAATATACCTCCGACACGACCACCCTGCATAAGGCGTCCAGTTCTTAAGCGGGCTGCTCCTTTCTTTTTATTCTCGGTCGGGACTCCTCTCGAATGCATCTCGAAGAAAGAAAAGAAAAACTTGGAGTTAGGCAAGCCGTGCCACGAACTGTATAATAATACGACTTGTCACAACCACATGCCACTAGTCACATATGTCTCTTGAAGAAAAGCATCGTGCACTAATGCAAGGAATAAAATGTACCTACATACGTACCTACATGTAGGTAGGCAGGCTTTCGACTATCCAATGAAGCGGTTTAAACATGGGTTTAATGCTTTGATTAAGGCAAGGAAAAGCGTCGGATGGTTGCATAGCACATGTCCGTCAGGCAGCATGTGGGAATGGGCACTTAATAAATTAATCACGACGTTAGATCGGTGGTCGAAGGATTTCATTTCTTTGCTGTTTGGAACTGCTATACTTTTTTGATGTGTGCGGTTTGGATAGGTTAGATATCTGCTACAATGTAACGGTCACAGTGATACCTATAGGGGGGTGTGTTACATGGATGGTGGTTTCGGTTATCTTCAAATGAACTAGATCGTCTTAGATTAGTACCCAGCCTTAGTTCAATTTTAAAACTAACTTACTTCTTCGACCATCTCGATAATAGGTATATCGGAGTCGGAGATCCGAGGCGGACTCTTGCTAAGGTGACGGTAAAAGGGTAACAGAAGACATATAGTTATAGGAAATCGAAACGCATGCCTATTGTACAAGCTAGCGAGGATTAAGCGATCCCAAGGTCGCTAATTCGTCGTCCTTATCCCATTACACATTCGTGATATACGCCTAGAATATCACGGGGGATAGTATTGCCTAAGAAACAATTAATGCCTTAGGTACCTAACCCAGCCCATCGTTGCACGAGGCGCTATCAAAGACGAATACTATGTAAGGCTGAGAAGCTGAGAAGCTGCAAGGACATGTGCCTAATACTACACGCGTAGCAGGCATTACCTACCTAGCAGCCTTGTTCCAGGGGCCCCTGTCGCGTACCCATAAGTGAACTTTTGCGGTTAAGAGGACAGTTCCAGGGATGGGTACCTCTGTACAATACTCTCTCCCAGGGCTGATGCCTTAGGCAACTGCGTATTTCTACCTACATACGTCCTCCACGTTCCAAGATGTTCAAGACATATTCTTGCATGAGTCCTACGTCTGCCTCATACAGACCAGCTGGGCGTTAGAGAGGCTCGACGCCTTATGCATCACCTGGGTTCACCTACATATGCAATTGGATAGTAGGAAGGTCGAGGCGACAGTGAATTAGGTAAACCTGGCTCTGACATATGCCGGCAGTTAATTCACTAGCATGGCGGTGAGACTACCCATGGTACCAATTGCATTGCTAACTGTGATTCTAGAATTTGACTCCCTATGCAGGACAACAATCCGAATCAACATACGTACATACATACATAGAATACACTATATCAATGATATGTCGACCAGTATATCCCGTTCGATAACAACTACGATAACTTACGAAATCGGTGACGTGAGGAGTCGAGGCGGAGTCCGTCGCTGAGGGGCTCGACACGAATACCTACCTGCACATGTGAAGCGGGGGTTACTAAATATTCCCAACATGTATATAGAAAGGATTAAGTGAGACACCAACATAGGTGGATATACTAATATAGCGGCTAAGTGGTTGCCCATACTTCCGGGTGGAGGGTTTAGTTTGGTTGCCTTAATCGACTAACTATTCAAGCAGGAGGTTTTTTCAGACAAAGCACGGCAACATCCGCATATTGAACTCCACCCCAGATGACCGAAGAGAGGAAGGTTTCGGATCTAATGGGTTTTTGGTTACTTTACCCATCACAATGACGCCAATGGCAGCGAATTGATGTCTTAAGATGTTGTGGGATTGTCGCAGAGGGATGAGTTGTAGCACATAAGGGATAGACGGGTTGATGATAGTTGGAGGATGGATGCTCCATTTAAAATACGGCAACGAGAAATATTCTCCGGCAGGTATGTAGATCTTTAACGGACATTGCAAACGCCCACGCGTCTAGAAATAAGAACAAGGTTGGTTAATTAAGACATTAATACACGTGTGATAGGTACTTATTATTAATATTAGATGGGGTACCGGGGCCATAGGGTGATCCATGACTACCTGCCTACCATGGGGCCGGTTTATTTAGTGCTAAATGTAACCTGGTATGGCGAATCCATTTCTAAAGCTAAACTGATGAGAACCTTGCGATCCATCTTGGCATTAACTTCATATGTTTGCTAACCAGGTTCTTGTGGAAAACTTTGAACAAGGCAACGCCAATAGTTATCCCTTTTCTAATAGCTACCTACATAGAGTAATTTTTACTTAGTCTAATGTTATCAAGCAACATATGTAAATAAGAATGATGACTCTTGAATGGATACGATACTGGAATTGTTCCTATTCGCTCGTAAGGAGTTCTATCACAGTTACAATGTCAAAACCCTTTGCAGCTAATAAGTTACCATTGTAGCTGAGGAAAGGACTATCGTTACTCTTGTTGTTAGATGTCATGAGATGCTCCCTAGACTAGGCTACAGCCGTAAGAAGGTGGTTGGACGGCTTAGGGCCCATGATTAGGTCCCTTATACCGAAATGTAGTAATACATTGGTAACCAATTGCGAGGGAGAAGTTGATCCCCAACCGATTGGGTTATGGAATCGTTACACCTGTAGTGTACGACCTCTCGAGGGTTGGTGAGACAACATCGTTAGTTTTCTGGCTGTATTCATGTGAAACCGAGACGCGGTGTACTGATAAGACTCGTGGTTTCATCCCAACGAAAGGGCACCTTTCCCGCGGGTCCCGGATGGGGTACGATACGGGAATATCCCCAGTCCGCCTGTTGTACAGAGTAACTCGGGCGGCTTGGTGAACATCATCTAACTACTAGGGCTGAGGATTCTCCGCAAGGCAAACAGAAGAGATGCAGGTAGAGTCAGCGAGGCTACAGCCCTTGCTGGAGCTGCGGTGCGTATCGTAGGTCAATACTATGCGAGCATTCACATCGGGATATGTATTGCTGACTGGCTGTAACCATATCGTCGTTAGGCCGGAATGCCTTAGTACAACGTGTGTTATATCGAATAGCATATGCAGAAACATATTAATTTGGTTTAGCACTACAGCCTAATAATTCCTACTCCTTCTTATTAGTAGCATTAATTACTGGTCTCCTAATTCCTAGTAGGACCAGCTCGTAGAGACCAAAACACCGATGTTGCCCTTATTTGATTAGGTACTTGGCTATCATTGGGCCGTCTTCTACAGTTGATAGGCATACAAAATACTTGACGCCTACGGTACACACTTGTGTCTTCTGTAGCCTACTCCTAGCGTAGGTATTATTCCTCTAGTCTTTATTAGTCCCGAATAGCTTCAAAAAGGAAACATTCGATTTTTAATAGGGTAAATTAGCTCCTAGGCTCAAGGAACTGACTCTGGCGTTGCGATATGGATCCCCATGTAAAGGGGCCTTTGGTGTAGTTTAATATGTGTTATTCAACTTCATGTCTATACACATGTCGTCTATAAACTAATAATACAGCAAATAAGACCTCGTTGACACCCGTGCGTCAGCTTAGATCAGCATTGTTTGTGCGACGTTGGAAATACATAATCTCTCAAAAGGTCGACGTGCAGCTTAACTTCAAACGGGGCAATGGTTCAATTCGGAACAACTACGAAAGCCACAGCGTCGAGTTTGAGTATCATAGAAAGGTACCTAAATCTTTCAAATTTATCTCTAGCTTACATTGCGCCCCTAATCTTCTATAAAATGGGAAGACGTAACAATATTCTAGAGTACTATTGAAAATCGTAATAATGCTACAGGTAAAACCACCTATACTATGTCGGGACCTGATAAATCTATCATAACCCGCGGTCGTTTATTCTTAACCCGTTATCGTCAGTTCAAGTCGTAGCTAGCCTATGCGTACGCACTACACTTAACCCGTCTCTCCCTCTGCTAGGGACCGGGTTAATAGATCATGCTACTACCTACAACAGGATGTATTCAATCAAACTGCGATCTAGAAATGGGATAAATGACGTCGGATTCGAAGTTGGGTAATTGAAGAAGATATCTATCGCTCCGAGCTTACCGGGAGTGATATGACTACCTCATAAGGTCTCGTAGCTCGGGACGAATCCTACACTAAGGATGCTCCCCCTTCTTTTCCTTGCGGTCGCAACATCAACATTCTTATCCATTAGATACCTATACGCAATGGTCAAGCTCGACATCGTCCGATCCGCGAATGCGGCACTTGCGAACTCGGCGACAAAGCCGTATGTGGCTGTTGTGGCTGGCGGCACGGCGGGGATTGGCGAGAGTGCGGTGCGGACACTCGCCGCGACATTTTCGGATCGCGGGGATCGGGAGGACGATGTGCTTCGCGTGCATATCGTTGGCAGAAATGAAGAAGCCGGACGTAAGATCGTTGCTGAATGCTCGGACGTGTGTCCGCGGGGGATGTTCCGATTTCATAAGGGCGACATGTCGCTGCTGAGGGAGGTCGATCGCGTCTGCGCTGATATTATTCGAACCGAGCAGCAAGAGGCTAACGCGAGAGGTAGAGTCGCGAAGGTTGACTTCTTGGTGAATTGCCAGGGCGTCTTGTCTCTCACGGCCGAAGGTACTCCTTGAGCCCCGTAGACCCTCGAAATTAAAACACTGAAAATAAACACGCATGCAGTTAATTCACTTAGCTAACATGGAGAATAGATACCAAGGAAGGCCTCGACAAGTACTATAGCCTGCTCTACTATTCGCGGGCGCGCTTCGTCGAAAGACTACTTCCGCTCCTGACCGCGTCTCCCGGAGGCGGTCACGTCGTCTCGGTGCTCAACGCAAGCATCAAGGAAGCACTTGTACTCGACGACCTCGCGCTGCGAAACCCGAAGAACCAGAAGTTTCCGACTGCCTTCGCGCATCTGGTCAGCTTGACCAACATCTTCTTCGAAGAAGTTGCGCGTCGCAACCCAGGCCGGATAGCTCTCTGCCACCAGCACCCGGGCTACGTGCCCACCGACATCGCGTCGAAGAGCAACTTCCCCTGGTGGCTCAAGTTCTTGATAACCTACATTGTCAACCCCTTATTCAGGCCTTGGTGGGTACCGCTCGAAGAATGCGGGCAGCGCATCTTGTTCATGGCTTCGCCAGCGAGGTTCCCGGCGCGGAGACCCGGAGATGTAAGGGACGGTACGGGAACGTCGTTGGGAAGCGTGGACGGCGTTGAGCCGGCCGAGGGGATAGATGGAGAGGTCGGAAGCGGGGTGTATAGGGTGAATAAGGACGGCGATACGTTTCCTAAGGGGAAGGAATACGGTAATGTTCGCGATAATGGCACTGCGGACAAGGTCTACCAGCATACTATGACCGTATTCGCAGAGATCGAGGCCGGTAGAGTATTCAAAGGCTGAACTTGGTTTGTAGTCTTGTCTTTTCCGCTTTCATTCTCCCGTTCTTGAATTATAACCTGCTCGGGGACCGACGATTCGATGGCACGTATTAACATAGTATTAACGTAGTACATGTCAAGACATGTAAGTTGCTTATAGGAATCAACTATTATCCACCGCTTTGGCGACTATAACCACTAACAGAATACGCTATTAGAGTACCTAATAGGATGTTAGGTCCTAGAGCGCAATCAGCGAAGTGGACGAGTTAGGTACCGCGAATCCATGTTAGCGCCAGTAACCTCATCTCGGAACTCCGTTCCTAACTACCTACGAGTAATTTCGTCTTCGTTATGTGATTGGCTAATATAATAGGCAATCGAGCAACCCAGCTTACGTTGCTTTCCAATGGTAAATCATTCCAAAGTGGTTGAAAAGTTGGAAGATGTGAAAAAAAGGCACATATCGGAAGGATTTAGAGTTAACATAAAGGTTACCGCGCGTAACTATATTTGTCGAATCAGAAGCAGGATGGAGAACGTGAGGGGTCGGACAGTATTAACAATTGATTCTACTTTCTTTATACTGAGGTCCATATCACAAGTGTTAACTACATAGCAGATGGTCTAATCAATCCGTGTCTTCCGAAGACTAGGTACGAGGCAGAGGTTTGATTAATTGCGCAAGTTTAGGAATCCAACGGCTGATGGCCCCCAGTTCAATGTTCATTTGTTAAATCAAGGATAACGTGAATAGTAGATGTATCAGGTATATTAGCCAACTACATACCATCAAGTATTAATCCTGGTTTGATGGCTACCTTTAAAATGACATCATGCCATCAAAAATATCATGTTTTATAACCTTGTATCACACAATATGCATCGGTCGTATGTATCTTCTCTTGCCTGAAGAAAATCTTCAAGGGTGGCTTGGCTGTCGAATCAAAACGATGCCAATCGGTATACTAAATGAAATAAAAACAGAAGGTTAACTCAAGATAAAAATATCAATGGCTTACATGGAATATAATACTCTACTTAATGAACTTATAGGACAATGCTATCATTTATGGAGATATGGAATATCCAACTTAGATTTAACATGTGAACAAGCTACGAAGTCCCTACGCTACAGTGTAATGGTTACATGCTCGCTACCAAGCACCTGGTAGTGGGGAAAAAGAAGACATTTCAGGAGATAGATTGACCCACAGAGGGCGAGCTAGCGCTAATGACTGTACATAGGTCGGTATTTGATTATAAGTTAGATTCCCTATAACTATACCTAGTGTACCTAGGTAAGTAGGCACGCTTTAGCATTAATACGTCTAACGTCAAGGCGTTTCGATGCCTACCTCGGTCAGTTGAGTAACCTCTCCTCATGCAACAACACGCCTTATATACTAACCGATGTACATTCGTAAAGGAGGGGGGATGAAACTACATTACGAAAAACACGCATCTAGGAAACTTGTAGCACAGGTATAGATGTGATAATCCTGCTATCACAGCCCGATGAGAGTAGTAATCGAATCGAATCCTACCCGGGTACCGAATGACTCACCCTCGTACAGCCCAGCTACAGCTACGCAACATGTCTTAAAACAGGTCGCTCACGAGAGAAGATCACTCTCACCATCCATCATCGACATCCTACCGAATATATCGCGCAAAGACCGGAATACGGCATGGGATCAAAGAAACCTCTACTATTGGATGGGCGAACGGGAGAAGGCGGCGGCCAGATTGTAAGGATAGCCTGTGGCCTCTCGGCGGTATTATCACGACCTATCCGCATTGACCATGTGAGAGGAAATCGTCCAGGGAAACGAGGAGGTGGTTAGCGCTTACTCTAAGGTCTTGCCTTGCCTCGAGAATACATCTTGTCTAATCAGTCGGGTATAGGCTTAAAGGAACAGCACGTAGCGGCCATCCTATGGCTAGCGGAAGCTACGGGAGCTGAAGTCGACGGGTTGGAGGTCGGCAGCCAATCTCTAGAGTTTAGGCCGTTGCAGCCTCCCATCACACTTCAGGGGCGCAAGTTTGAGATCGTCGCTGGAAGCAGTGCCTCGAGTACTTTGCTTATCTTCCAGGCAATATTCCCTTTCCTCCTATTTGCGGGCAACGACACCGGAGAGCCTATTGAGCTCGAGATTCACGGTGGGACAAATGTGTCTTTCTCGTTGTCATATGAGTATTTCGATCAAGTCTTGTTGCCTACCTTGAAGGATCGTTTCGGTATCGCCGTTGAGAGACAGTTGAGGAAGCGATCCTGGGCAACGGGCCCTCTCAAAATGGGGTGCATTTGGCTAAGACTCCATCCTCTTCGGCCAGGAAGAGCCTTGAAAGTTCAAGAGCCGTGGGACAGGCCAATCAGCACGGAAGACTTCAAGCTCAAGCAGGTTGACGTGAGCATGCTTGTGCCATATGCTCTCCGAGAACCACTCGAGAAAGCCCTTGCGAGTGATCTTGGTGAACTATTTCCTCATGTGGACATTAATTTCCTACTGTTGGAAGACAGCGGGCATGATGCCCGTATGTACACTCTACTAGTAGCTCACTCCTGTACTGGCCTCCGTTGGGGCCGTGATTATCTATATGATAAATCCCGGAAGAACAAGACACCAAAAGTTCTGAGCACAGAAATATCGCGGAAAGTCTGCCATGACCTTTTCGAAGAGATTACGATTCGCGGAGCCGTTGACGAGTACCTCCAAGATCAGCTAATCGTATTCCAGGCATTGGCAGACGGTCGATCAAGCTTTCCTCGAGGTACCAAGCCAGCAGATGCAGAAGGCAGTAGTCCTGACGATATAAGCCATCTCGAGACATCTCTCGAGGACTTGAAGCTAGACAGGAAGATGAGGAAGGATAAGACACATGAGCCTTTTGGAGATGGGTCTATGCACACTACCACAGCCAGATGGGTAGCGAGTGAGTTGCTTCCTACGGTGCAATGGTTCAATAAGGGTGCCATTGTGGATGGCGCCGGCGTATCTTTTCCTTAACTAGGCGGTATAATATCTCCTATTATGGGTAGCCAGCCTCGCCCGATTTGTTTAGAATCATGTGACATTACCAACCTGTATAATCTATATTATTACAAGGACTGCTGCTGCAAATTACTCCTGCACTACTATCAGCCAGTGTTTAAAATATTGCCCGTTTCCTAAGTTAATTTTACATACCTGTCTGCTTTGACCTGCAGCAAACATAACGCAATACAACAATTTTACACCGGTTACCTATTAAGCTTCTTAGCCATATTCTAAACGTGAATCAAAAATAATATAAACATGAAAGCTTAAATGAAGTAAAGAATGATGATTTATTTGTAAAATCGTATCATGTGATTCTCTTCTTTCTTAAGACAATATTTAGTGTTGTTCTTGATTGGACTTTCACAATGTGAACCATAAACTAGATCATAACATATATTTAAAAGCACTTATCGACTCATGGCAATTTATCGGGTATTATAACGCAATGCCTCTTAATAATATTGATATGGCGTATGAAAATTACATTCTTGGTTGATAGGTAATTTATTAAATTTATTTTTACTATGTACCACTTCTCACCATACAAGAACAACATAAACATACACCGCCAATATACACATTTCTATGAAATCAAATAAAGCACCGCTTTTTAAGAGAAAAGTAAAGCTGTTACTAAGTCTCAGTACCTTCTTAAGGGACTAATCAATTATACTTAAATCCTCGCACCAGATGGGTAGCTATTGGAAGTATCTAAAGTGCGTGTTAACCAAGATACGAACCGCCAATGTCAAAAATGATACTATACCAAGGAATAAGCAAAGGAACTTTATTTTGCCTAAACCGATAGCGACGACCATCGAGATTTCGCACCAATTAACAAATCCCCATAGTCTTGGGACCCGCAATCCCCTGATAGATCTGGGGGAAAGTTGGAGAAGCGGAGTTTTCAAGGATCATATCAACACCAGGGTTCCTTACCTTCTCCACAGCTCGGGATATTCTTCACCATGAGGCTTGTCATAAGTCTGTCGCTATACCGAGCTCAAAATGGATGTAACGCTCGTGCTTCAAAGTTGGGTGGCACTACCTCCGAGATGCGAGGATAAGCTTCCCTAAGCTTCCCTATGTTTACCGGCTTCGGCGGAGTCCAGTAAGAGCGGCGGAACGTTCAAAACAATGCTCTTCTCGGGTCTTCTTATTATCTTATGTTACTTATTGCCGTATGGGCGAGGGATAAACGTACCATCGCGCGATGTAGGCTCTGGGGTTGGGCCCCGAGGCCCCTTAGAGGGATTGGTAGGGAAATACGTCGAACTCCTCTTTTGCCATTGCTTAGATTCGACTAGGTTACCTGGGACAAGTACTCTATGATAATTCGAGGGGAACGGATGTTCATATTCTCAGGAGAGTTTCACCCCTGGCGCCTGCCGAGCCCAGGTTTGTGGTTGGACATCTTTCAGAAGATCAAGGCCCTGGGTTTTAACGCGGTGTCGTTTTATACCTACTGGGGTCTTGTAGAAGGCACACAGGGGCAAGTGCGCTTCGACGGGGTATTTGCACTTGACGAATTCTTCAAGGCCGCCGCAGAGGCAGGCATCTATCTGATCGCCCGACCCGGACCGTATATTAACGCCGAAGCGGCCTTGGGTGGCTTCCCGGGCTGGACGGCACGGATCAAAGCCCCCCTTCGGGGGAGCGACCCGGAATTTGTTAATTCAACCGAACTCTACGCTGCTACTGTAGGCAAGTTGATTGCCGATGCTCAAATTACGAATGGCGGCCCGGTTGTGATGTTGCAGCCGGAGAACGAATACGACACATGGCCGGATGTCGACGACACCGATTTCCCAGCTCAGACAAACAGCGACTACATGGAACATGTCAAGCAGCAATTCAAGAAAGCCGGAAATGTAGTCCCTCAGATGGTCAACGATCATCTTTATCAAGGAAACTGGGCGCCAGGGAGCGGACTAGGCGAAACAGATCGTGAGTGTCATATTCAAGCATGGTTTACCTATGATTTACAGCTGATTATTGGTTTCAGTGTATGGTATAGATGCATATCCTCTTCGCTACGACTGTGAGTGCCACGAGTATCTTAATGTTATATTGTATTCTAATAGTATATATAATAGGCGCACATCCCGACGTCTGGCCCAAGATTCGATGGCCGGAGAACTGGCAGATTATGCACCAGAAGTATAGCCCTAATACTCCCTTTTTCATAGCCGAATTTCAAGGGGGCTCCGGGACTGGTTTTGGGAGCGTTAATGCAGATGCATGTAACGCGCTCATCAACCAGGAAGCAGTCCGTGTCTTGTGGAAGAACAACTATAGCTTTGCTATCAAGATCTTCAACGTGTACATGGTGGGTGACCATTCGCTCCCCTGCATCATGATGTAGGTAGTGTATGAAACTAAATCTCGTTTAGACATATGGAGGAACGAACTGGGGTAACTTGGGGTATAGAGGCGGCGATAGCTCGTACGACTATGGTGCGGCTATTAAGGAGAATCGTCACATCTGGCGGGAGAAATACTCAGAGGAGAAGCTGGAGGCCAATTTCTTCAAAGTATCCCCTGCATATCTGACTGCGGTACCAGGAAATGCGTCAAATGGATCCCACGTCTCGACCGAGGAGATCGCCACCACGCCCTTATTCGGAACCGACTCCGCCACGAACTTTTACATCATTCGGCATGCTGATTGGACGTCTATAAATACGACAACTTATAAGCTCATCGTGCCGACAACCGTCGGCAACATATCGATACCCCAACTCGGCGGGGAGCTAGTGTTGACCAGAAGAGATTCAAAGATCCATTTGACCGACTACGACGTCGGTGGAATAAACTTGATTTACTGCACCGCGGAGATATTCACATGGGCCCAAGACGGGCCGGGCAAGAGAACACTGATCCTTTATGGCGGAGCTGGGGAGACCCACGAATTCGCTATTGGTCTAACAAACTTGGCTACAAGATCTGCCCAGACGAGTCCCAACGATACCACTGTGAAGACCAAATTCCTGGATTCGAATACGTTAGTGGTTCAATGGGAAGTTTCTGTAGAAAGGAAGATTCTGAGACTTGGAGACGAGCTGGAGGTTCTCTTGTTATGGCGCAATGACGCTTACAACTATTGGGTCACTGAATTACCAGCAGAGGCTCCAATCGCGAATTATTCTTCTCCATCTAAATCCGTCGTCATCGTGAAGGGTCCTTATCTAATCCGCACAGCAGTCCTCGATGGGGAAGTACTTCGTCTTACCGGAGATATTAACTGCACTACCAATATCGAATTAATCCACGAACCTTCTGGTAAAGTGAAAGCTTTGTCGTTTAACAACAGAGACCTTAGTGCAGAGTACAACGGAGACGGAAAACTTGCCGCACAGTTGTACTTCCAAGCTCCTAGCCTTACTCTGCCCAACTTCGCCTCTTTGGAGTGGAAATATATCGACTCCCTTCCTGAGATCCAGGCCTCCTACGACGATTCGAAATGGGTCAAATGCGATAATCCGTCGACCAATAACCCACAGCCCCTACTTACTCCGACCTCCCTTTATGCGAGCGACTATGGCTTTCATAGCGGTTCGCTTATATACCGTGGCCATTTCACGGCCAACGGAGATGAATCCAGTTTACACCTTAACCTAACCGGCGGGAGCGGCTTCGGCTATTCACTCTGGCTCAACAACGAGTTCGTTACATCCTGGGACGGAGCAAGCGGTGGATCCACACACAACGATACCATCTCAATGACATCCCACTCCCTCGAGGCCGGCAAGTCCTACGTCTTCACGGTGTTGATCGACCACATGGGGCAGGACGAAGAAGCGCCTGGGACGGACGCTATTAAGGCACCGATGGGACTTATCAACTTCGACTTGGACGGACACGAGAAGTCGGATGTGACGTGGAAGATAACGGGAAACCTCGGCGGCGAATCGTACTATGACCTAGCGCGGGGCCCTCGCAACGAAGGCGGCATGTTCGCCGAAAGGCAAGGATACCACCAACCAGAGCCGCCGAGCGAGGATTGGCAGTCTTCGAACCCCGTCACAGAGGGCATACGTTCGGCGGGCGTCGGGTTCTTCACGACGACATTCTCGCTTGATGTGCCCGCGGGCTACGACGTGCCGCTGAGTTTCGTATTCGGCAACTCTTCCGCCGCCGCCGCAGCAGGCCGTCATCGATGCCAGCTCTTCGTCAACGGCTGGCAGTTCGGAAAGTACGTGGCCAACCTGGGGCCGCAGACCGTGTTCCCGGTGCCGGAAGGTGTGCTCAACCACAACGGTGTGAATACCGTGGCGCTCACGCTGTGGTCGCTCGACGAGGCTGGCGCTAGGCTTGAGAGCTTTGCGCTCGAGGCTGAGATGCCGTTGTGGTCTGGGTATAGGAAGCCGTGGTTGGCCCCCCAGCCGGCGTGGCAGGAACGCCAAGGGGCGTATTAGAGCACATGGCGTGGGTATGTGTATCTGTAGTACTTGGTGGATCGCACTTTGTTGTGGGTATTAGACTTGGGTTGGTTCATCGGATGAGCGATTCGGTGTGAGATAGGTATGTATTGTACAACTAGAACGCCTCAGAATCGTATTGTAAGCAAGCAAATACACTAATAGACCACGTTACTGCTCTCGAGCCGGACGCCTTACGATCGCCTCGTCGGTGCCTCGTTGCTGCCCCGTAACAAGTGATTTGTCGTATCCGTGAATAGATACCGACTCTATTCAACCTTGTCGATATGTAACCTGCCTGGCCCCTGGGTAGCATAATGCTGCCCAACGTTCAAGGGCCAGGAGCGTGGAGGAGCTGAGGAGCCATTTTTGATCGACCGTGAATTTTGGTTAAGCAGCACCGGGTACCTTTTCACACTGCCACATCATCTCCCCTGAACAAGTGATGTTATGGTTTCGTTAATCCACTTTTCAGCTTGCCTAGTGTAATCCCCTCCGGGGTTTCCAATTTCGACCCCCAAAGGTACCTTTACACAATGGCTACGTCGGCAAGAAGTGGTAGGCGTTCATGGTATTGCAAGCCCAGCACCATGTTTGACCCTAGGAAGCTTCCGGGATAGTCTAGTGTATGATAACCCTGCCGCGTGCGCGTTGCCTGCTGGTCCCCATCCGCACAGACGATATGTAGACGAAAAAACAAGGCAGGCAAATATTTGGTAGTTAGCGGGTCGATATCCGAGCCTACCCACTTTCACGCTCTAAAGCTAGCTCGGGTCGGTACCGCGATGTTTCAATCCACCTCGGGGAGCCCTACGACCGGGAGATATATCAAAGGGGTTGACCCGAGAACTTGGCTCATCTAACAAGGTACCCTACACTAGATCTCCGGTAAGGATGAACGAGGTAACCTTGTGTATTTCTAATCGTCACTTAAATATAGATAGGATTGGTACCTAACATACAAGTATGATAACTATTCAAGCTTCTTTCGAATATTTTATTAAGGGCCTCGACGACCCAAAGCAATATCCTAAGCTTCGAATAGCTACACAGTAGTAGTATGACTTCTGCCTCGTACTCAGCTAGGAATGTATGATCTCCTCGTATGTAATCATTCATCGTATTCAGCTCCCCGTTGTACAACTGCGGAACTTTTTTTTAAGATTTCTCACGCCGATCTTTCCTTTGATATGTATCTGTATGTATTACCGGTTAGGTATTTTATCGGGTCTAAGTAGGTATGTATATGATATCTTGCCAACGCACGTAAACATGAAGTCGCACTATGCGGGCCGGTGGCTTAAATATAAGGGGATGGCCCGTAGTAAATTCCTTCACAACGTGATGACACCCCTGGCCACGTTCTTTGAATCGGCTCGGAAGGACCGATATTTGCTTTTGTAAAACTGGCTCTCGGGTTTATCTATGCCCAAGTATCCGGGTTTTACTCGTACTATTGTACCTATGGACCATAATTGATAGACCAAATCAAGAAAACTTATTAACTCCTCGCTAATCACATTTCTACGCATAATATGCTCAAGGATCCCCAGATTTTACAGCTTTCTATATTTATGCGGTTCTTTTACATAGCTCGGGGCCAACCATAGGTAGTCTGTGCCATCGTTGTCTCAAGGTTGAAATTACGTTACAGCTTCATGTTTGCTCACAATGCCCATCAGATATCGAATGATCATGTGTAATCCGGTTGCCCCGTTTAATTAAAGCTTCCTCCACGTTGGGCTGGACTCAAGGGACATGGATGTCCTAGAACCGGTACATAAGGAAGGGCCGTGCTACGCTACTTTATACGTACCATTCACTCGGTATCTTCGATAATCAATGTTGCGCGGTATGTATTGCAAGTCCGACTCAACTTGGGAGAGGTAACGGCTTGCCGTATTAAGTTGGATAGAGGTTTTAATACAATACAATGATCAATGGATAGGTAGTAGGTTCAACAACGAAGTAACAATAAGCATGTGGTTATTTCTGCCCAACCAACAATTTACCCCTGAAACGAAACCTTTATCCTAGATAATCTAGGGGAAGATTCCTTCAAGGGAAATAGCGGCGTCCAGCCGATGTATTATATTGCTAGCCAGTGGTATAAATAGTAAAGACACCTTAAGACGTCGTTAGTCTTAGCGGAGCAGGTAACACTCCGAGTCGGCTTATACACGTTGCCAAAGTTTGCTGCAAGGAACTCGGACTTGTAAGATTACCTATGCTTCATAATCAAGTCAGGTACCTGTTTATTATATAGTAATATTCGTTCCTAGCCGTGTTGGATTTCGGGGCCAGAAGAACATTTGCTCGTTTAATATTGGGTTGCCACGCCATGTATTTTGGAATTATCTTATAGAGTAATTGTAGATTCGATATTTAAAGAATGACCTGATAATGCCTTATCTCGACAACCGAAAATATTTAACCATTTAACGTTATTACATGTTGCTAAAACTATGCGTGCCTTATAGTATATCGTCTAGTTTTGTATATGTGTGTATTTTGGTACGACGTTCGTATAATAAATCATTACTAACCCTGTGCTACGGTACATAACGCCGCGTGATCTTTGGCGATAGTATCTTGATGGTATTTACTATCTAACTAGAGCGAACCATTTAGGTCATGGGCCCGGGCAAGCCTCTCGGGATCAGACTGGCGGGAAAGATCCCTAATACAAGACGTCTTGTTTAAGAATACCTCTCCGAGACAATGCGTTGTTCTTAATGGATGAAAGACGAACCGGGCGCCACACGGTATCCAGGGGGAAGTAAGAATGGCGGAATCTGTCAACCCGCACCGATTCCACGTTCGCTAAATGGCTCGTAGAGATGAGAGATGACCACGTCGTGATACCTATGGCTGACTAAGCGGGGATATACCTGTAGCTATTAAGCGTTTTCAGGGGGGATATTTGCGAAAGGCATTCCGCTTCTAACGCCCCTTTCATTTGTAGTGGCGGAAAGCTTTAATTAAAGAAAAAAAAAACCTTTTACATTCGTTTAATAGGTCTCTATTCGAACAATAAGATAATAGAATGTTATAAGAGCTAAAAACCAGTTAAGGGCCATTGCTCATTTCATGATACCTACTATTCCCACCGAGGAGGCATTAAAAGATATAAATATCCGTGTTGGTATTAGTTTGCGGTCAATGATAAGAGTGCTAATGACATGCTCGACATTGCAACCCTCCCGCAGCAGCTGGTTGCAGATGACTGCCTTTTCGTGTGTAACGGCCGAATGTAACCGTAACAGTAATCAGCCTCGTCCGGGCCACAAGTCAAATCGCCGGAAACCCAGCCACTTAAACAAGGCTGTCTACGCCGTACAGTTTTCCGAGCTGGGGAACGTAATACCAAGGTGTCACTAACACTAGGGTTACAGTAGCACCCCTCAAGGGATGAAGGGATCATGATAAGACCTGCTATTAACTAGCTCGACCGTTGCGGCGCTTCCGAAAGGATTCGTGTGATCAGTCACGAAAGCGATATTCTGACCGACGTCCCGCTCACCGGTGAATTAGATGTGTGTGTGAATCCAGAAGAGATTGGCCTGGCTGAGCGGAACGCGCATACGTACCTGCAGGTCGACCAGAAAGCCAAACACATGGACGGCAATTAATGGCGCGAAAAAAAAAGAGTCAGGGGATTGCCACTACTGACGCAGCTCAGCTTATGTACACCAGAAAAAAAAAGCTGGATCGTTCGCGCCCTTTGATAGCGAGGTGTCTGAACTTGAATGACAACTATGACGTAACATTCATGTGCGCAAGGAAACGAAAGCCATATGAGAAATGGATGAGTATTAGGTTAAGCTCATAAACGGATAGTATTATGTTACCCCCGAGAGCCTCGTGGCCGGGCTCCGACATGGTTGAGCCAATCGGGACGGCGAGAATGACGACTTCCTAAATAGGAAGCCTCCAGAACGATACTCGGTCTAGAGAAGTGAGAAAATGATGGATGGATATCCACGTGAACGTGTAATATACAAGTCAAACATGCCTAGGAGATAGGCGCTGGGGAATGTTTCAATACTGCTTGTAATAGACGCCGCCATGTGGCTACCTGGCGTCAGAGATAATCCATACTGGGTCTGATCTCTTTCGTCGTCCAGCACGCTTCGAACCCGAAAGGCTTCTGTTCGGGATCTTGAAATTATAAGAGAGTCCTTGGATTTTCACGAGGGCTCGGCTCCTTTGAAGAAGGCAAAAGCAAGGCAGTTCGGTGTGAGCACTTGCGCCCGTGGTGCACATTGCTTTTATTGAAAATGTGGAGTTGCTCTATATGTGTAATTGTTATCTTTTTAGGTCCTTCGTTGTCAAGCGAGTCCTGGAGCGTGCTGTATGTAGATCGGTGAAGCACTTGTCGCAGGAAAGGGCGGGGAATAGAGACTTAATATCTTTCAGCCGGATGCGACCCCTCTATGAGGGATTCTTAATTCGATCCCGGGCATAAAATTGCGTCAGGTCCCTCATGACACTAAGGCATATGAACCCCATTGTCGCTAGCCTTCCTATCTGTGAGGAGGTCACGGGAGGGGATTGCTGTGGTGATGCTTGCGCTCTGCATTCTAGCCAATAGTTGGTCTCTGGCAGTCTGGGTATAAGAAAAGCGCTGTAGGTAAGCAGGTCACACGACCTTCAACATCCCCCGCAGGAGAGCAGATCTGTAAAGCCGGAGATGAGGAAAAAAATCCACAAAAGGAAATGAAAGGTTTCGATGGCGCAATGGGAATAGAAAACACTTAACTGCGCGCAGACAGAAAACGGTAGCTGGCCTAGGGAGGGGGCCAACTAAACATGCCTATCATACCTACCTAGGCCGGTAAGCTGCTCTGATCTCACAGCACTTCGCACTTCGAACGGGGAGTTTCCGTATGGCCAAAACCTAGCGCATCGAATTTGATAATTTTCAATCTTCCTCGCAAAGCACGGCGTAGCCGTCCAGTGGACCAGCGACCGCAGTAGCACCGTCCACCGCTCCC